AACCACATGCTGGTGGCCAAATTCACCCTTCCCACTGCCGCCCGGCTCCTCCACAGCCCGGCAGGAGAGAAGAGCCCCAGTGTGGGGCACAGCGACGGTGGCAGCCCCAGCGGGCACAGGGTGTCCCCGCGCAGAGAGGAGCCAGTGTCCACAGCCCCCTTGGATGGCCCGGGCACCTGGGATCGGTGGAGGCATGGGGAAGAGGAAAGAGAGGGCAGCAAGGTGAGAGCTGCGGGCTGGGGGGCTTTCCCTTAGAGTCAGGTAGGGGGTTGGGGGACACCCCAGGCAGCAGCTGGGTTACCCGCTCCAGCAAATGTGACCTGTGTTTGGGGACTCCTCAACTCGGGTGGCCCCTTTGCTCCAGCTGGGAGGGGTGGGGAAGAGCTAGGTGCTGAATGGCAATCCCCCACCAGCCCGCAGCCTTAACAAGGAAGCACTTCACCCCAAAAGCCAACAAACAGCCCAGTCCCTGCCCAGACCAGAAAATTGTTCCTGTTGTCCCATTCCCACCTTGGCATCACCCGCCAGGGATGGGTCAGATGGACCCTGTGTGCCCGGGGCTGAGCTGGCACTGCTGGCCCCAGTGCTGCTTCACTCACCCACCCCCTGTCCCCTTGCAGGCCCCCCCCGGTAAAACGGAGTTTCAGATGATGGAGGGGACGCTGGAAAGGAAGCATGTGTTGCAGACAGGAGGGCGGAAGGTACGGGCATGGCTGCGGGGATCCTTTGGGACTGGGGTGCTGGGATATGGGGGCAGGTCCAGGTTTCAGGACAGGAGCAAAGCCAGGGATGCTCCTGGCGCTACCGTGGCAGTGCTGCTGGCCGTGCTGGGAGGGCAGAGCCCACTGGGGCTGGGGGACATTTTGAGTTGCAGGGGACCGCTTGTCTTCTCCCAATCCCATTGGCATCACAGCTGTCCCCTGCTTCCATCCCGCAGGCCAACTGCCGCGCTTGGGGCCTCTTCCACGCCGTGCTGATGAGGCAGACGCTGTGCTTCTACCAGGACCGCAGGGACAGCATCAAGGTGCGGTGGGGGAGAGCAGGGTGGCACAGCACCACGGGAGCAGGAGGGGCACTGGAGGGGGCTGGCAGCAGGGTGGGGGGGCTGGAAGTGGGGTGTCCTCGCCCCCACGGCAGAGGAGGGCAGCGCCTGCCAACCCCACTGTTGCTCTTGCTGTACCCTGTGCTACAGAGCTCTGTGGTGGCCCTTCCCCTGAACCTCTCTGGGGCGGTCTGCACCCCGGACACCGAGTACACCAAGAAGACCAACTGCTTCAGGCTACAGTGAGTCACCCCTCATAGCCACAGCCCTCCCTAATGTGTCCCTGCACACCAACACCTCCAGCCAGGGCCAGCTTGGTCCGGTGCCTAGATAAGGATTTCCTCCTCTCTTTCTCACCTGCTTCCCTTCTTTCCCAGGCTGGCAGGGGCTGTGGTATCTGCACCCCACGTCTGCCTTGTTGCTGACTTGTTCTCCCCCCTCCCAGGCTGCGGGATGGCTCCGAGTACCTCCTGAGGGCCCCCTCCCAGCCCCTCATGAATGAATGGGTCTCCAAGCTGCAGCAAAACTCAGGTGAGCAGCCCTTGCTGGCAGAACAGGGGCCCGGCTATATGCAGCTAGCACCTGCGTGCAGCCCCCACCGAGCCCTCTGATACACAGGGGGATCAGAAGAGAAGCAGCATAGCATTGTCTCTGATTTATGCATCCTCCTAACCTGCCTCGGGAATGGCAGTTCTCTGCCAGGCAGGATTTGGAGGCTTTGTTTTCACACCACGTACACAGTTATAAATCAGGAATAGCATGACTGACGTCAGTGGAGCCTCAGCAGCAAAAAGCCAGTGTCAGGAAAATTATAATTATACCTCGGTCTTTTTCCACCTCCTCTGCGGGGCCTGGAAACCCCTTGCCAGCCCTCCAGGCAAGGAGATCTGTAACACTGAGGTCTTCCCGCTGCTGTACCCATACCCGAGGGGGCTGTCCTGGTTTCGGCAGGGATAGCATTAATTTCCTTCCTAGTAGCTGGTACAGTGCTGCCATGAAATCCTAGGCTGGTTGGCAGGACCAAGAGCAGGCGCTACAGCAGGAGGTCAGAGGGGCCAGCCCTGAAGCATGGGCATCCGGGCGGCTTGGCCAGCCAGAGCTGCGGCTCACTTCACGGGACGGGCCTGTGTGCCTAGAGCACCCAGCAGGATGTTTGCTGTGCCCCCAGGTTTCCCCGAAGTGGATTATTTCCAGGCAGCGGCACAACGTGTCGAGGGCACCAGCGGTGCTGGGGGGTGAGTAGCCTGGGTCTCATTATTACAACTCTCTCCCATGCTTGCTGGTGTGTGCTGCTCCAGCAGGGCATCAGTCGGCCAGTCTAGTTCATTAAATCTCTGCTATTTTCCAGTTTCAGCAAGGTCCCCAGCCCTGGGAGCTCCCACCTCCAGGGGCATCATCAGGTCACGACCGCCAAGAGCCAGGAGATCATGGTGCTACCCCGCCCAAATGCCCGGCCGCAGTGGCCTCTGGGCAGCCAGGATGGCCCAGCCAATGGGGCTGTGGCAGCAGCAGGTGACTTTCTTGCCTGGCTGGGCTCCTGCTGTCCCCGGAGTCCTCCCCCCAGCCCAGAGAGGTGTAAGGGAGCTGACTGGGGGAAGCTAGAGGCTGTCAGTCAGTCTTGAACTCGGTGGGGACTGGGCCAGCAGTCCCGGCGCCCCTTGCCCATGAATGGGGTTGGGGGAAGGACCAGTTACCTCCCTTCACTTCCGGGGATACTGGGATAACCACACGTTTCCCTGTCCTCTTTGGGGCTGACACAGGGATGTCCTGTGGTGGCCTTGCCTTGTGACATGTCTCCATTCTGCTTCAGAGGATGCTCATGGGGCCGGGAACAAGGAGCAGCAGTGGACCAGGGGGTCCCCCGGGCTATGGGACAACAGCTGCCAAGAAGATGACTACGGGCTGGTGGCCAACAAGAGGAGGTCCTACTCCTTCACCTCAGGTACAACCCTGGTTTCACTCTCACTGCCAGGAGGTGGCACCACTGCCCCTGTCCCCACAGACACCCGAGGGCAGGTGCGATACTGCTCCAGCACCCACCCGGTCCCAGGTCCTGGGCTGTAGCCCCCCACTCGGGGAGGGCTCTGGGGGGCTGGCAGCGCCCGCTGGCGACCTGCCCTCCCCACTGACTGCTCCCCCTTGCAGCCACCTACCAGAAGATCACGCCGGTGGCCGTGCCCAAGGAGCCAGTGGAGGCTGGGAGCAGCTACTCGGTCACGCTGTACATTGGGGAGCAAGCGCCGGCTGTGCCGCGGGCACGCTGCCACTCCTTCGTGGCCCAGCCGGGGAGCCCGCGGGACACACTGGGGGAGAAGACCCCCGGCCCTCCTCGCCCCAAGAACAAATCCGTCTTCAAGAAGTTCTTTGGGAAGAAGGAGTGAGATCCAGCTGAGGGGGGAGAAAAGCCCCAGCCTGCCCTTTATCCTTCTCTTGGGTGCTGTCCTGGCCCAGCCTCTGCTCCCAGCACCAGCTCACCGCTTGCCACCTCCCCGGGGGAGAGAGGCTGCGGCAAGCGGCTGGACTCCAGCTGGCCCCGGGGCTGCACCGTGCCCCGGCCACCCCCAGCCTCAGCCTGGCGCTGAGCACCCCTCCTGCCCACCCGCCGGGTGCTCTCCCTGGGTGCCGCCGGCTCCCCAGGCATCTCACTGACACACAGCACAAGCAGGGGTGGTTGTTTGTTTTTTAATAAAAACAGACGCTTATTCTGGGAGCTTCTTCCTCCAGCAGCACCTGCCGGTGCAGGAGGAGAGGGGCTCTGCCGGTGGTTCCTGCTACGGGGTTGGGGGGAGAGCTTCAGCTGAGGGCAATCCCTGCAGCAGGTTTTGATCCTACTGAGGGAGAACCCTGAGCTGCCTCGTGTCTTTCACAAGGATGCTTTGTCCCGTGGTTCCTCTGTGCCTGCACCTAGCCCAACTAATCCCACAGGGCACCTGGGCCCCTTTTCCCTGCCACGGGGAGCTCAGCGGGAAAACCGCTGCCTGCGGAGCAAATCTTCCTGCCTGCACAGCCCTGCAAGGCCTGCCCTTCCTCTCTCGCAGGATGGCCGCCGGCCCGGGTCACAGCAGGCGGATGCTGCGTGCCATGGAGGGGGCTGGGGAAATGTGGCCGGACCCCTAGGGCTTCCTGCATCCTAGATATTTTGCAATAACTTCACCGGGCTACGCCGGCTTCAGCTGCCCCGGTTCCTGCCTGCGCTGGGAAGGGGAAAGAGCAACTGGCCCAGACTGTTCCCAAGTGTGCACCAGCCCCAGGGGGAGAAGGGGAAGTTTCTGGGGCCGTGGGTAGCAGGGCCTCTCCCCAGCAGGCTGCAAGGCTTGGCCGCGCACACCCCTCGCCTCCTCATCCGCACTGTGGGGCTTAAAATAGAAGTGCTGGCTGCAGCCCAGCTCTGCAGCAAGGACTGGGAGAGAAGAAATGTGGGCGCAGGGCTGCTCCTGCCACCCCTTCTCCCCTGCTCGATGTCCCCAGAGCTGGGGACAGGCAGTGAGGTGGAGGTGGGCACACCAGTGTCACCTGCAGAGGGGCTTTCTCCATGCTCCCAAGGAGGGGATGAGAGGAAATGCCGGCAAGGGGTACTGCCATGCAGGCCGGGGGGGGTGGGGTGTGTGTGCACTTTTTGTGCTTCCCCCTGCACCTCCCCACCCTCCACTTGGCTCCATTGCTCTTGGCTCCGGCACCTGTTTTCCTCCTGCCACCGAATCTCAGCTGCCTGTGCTGCCTTAATGGGAAGAGGCGAGAGGGATGGCACGGCTCGGGGGGGGGACACCCTGGGAGGGGGCCAGCCCCGGCCAGGCCAGGGAGGAGGCCAAGGCACAGCATTTGTGGCTCCGGCCACACATACCAGGAGAGCAGGCGCCAGTTCATTCCTGAGCAGCTGAGGGGCCCAGCGGAGGGAGCAGCGGGTGCACTCTGCTGAGGCCCCCCCCCGCCAGCCCCAGGGGGCTGATGCTGACCCACGGTGGAGTGGGGGCTCAGCAAGCATCCAGCCATGGCTCGAGTCCAGCACAGCAGTGTGGGGTGACATGCAACCAGAGAGGTGCCCCCATCCCAGGGACAATGCTGGCACCCGCAGCACCGTTCTCAGTGCACAGGGCTGTCCCCCTTGCATGGGCTTCGTTGTCCCCCCAGGGTGGCTGCCTGCCCACAGCCTCCCCTCTCTCCTTCCCCGCGCGGGCGCTCAGCCCCGCGGCAACCTGCTGACGAATCCCACTTGCAGTTCCTATGGCAGAAGCCACTTCCCC